ATGTTAATTACATAGATATGTTGTCTTTTGATATATCTTCATGAATTCATTAAATTCTCCTATTTATTATTCTATTCATAGATGTTCTATTCAATTATTGATTAATTGTATGTTATTTATTATATCATAGAACTTCTTAATCTCATTCGATTGAGTTGGATCAAAAAGAGTTGCAAACACGAAGTGGTCCGTTCCACCAAGAGTCCATTCGATGGTGACCTAATTTACTGGAGTCTTAGGTTACAGAAACATTTGAATTAAATCCATACCATAAGAAAGAGCAAATATCAATATAGATTCTGAGAAGAGCCATATGAGGCGAAAGTCTCACGTATGGTTCGGAAGCCGAGCCATATCAGCAATGAGCAATTTGTCAGATGATTTCTCATGGCTTAATTGGTGCTAGCTTATTCTTTTTAGCAGGTACTACTTATGACCGTGTTCGAACAGTTCGTTTATGCAATGATCTTTTTCAGATCGATTTGTCTTAATGTAGTTAAGGAAGTATATATTATAGCAATCACACTGGTGACTAGAAATAGGAAACTCCACTGTATGCGGGAAACTCCTCGAATAGATAGAATGAATTTAATTTCTAGATAGTAAGTAATAGTAATTAAATTCAATTAGAGGGCAATGATATAGTCCATTTTTGATTTAAATTCAAAATGACCCTGGTAGTCCATGCCGTAAACGATGAGTGTTGGTCCTTGGTCTACGCCCGGTGGTTTTTGGGGGCGATTCGATGAGGGACCTAGCTAACGCGTTAAACACTCCGCCTGGGGAGTACGGTCGCAAGGCTGAAACTCAAAGGAATTGACGGGGGCCTGCACAAGCGGTGGAGCATGTGGTTTACTTCTAATATAAATTGAAAATTTCTTCTCGTTTTTTTACAGAAAATAGAATTTTTGAGAAAAGAAAATATTGTTTTCTTTCTTTTTAAAATTGTAAGTCCGTAAATTGCATTGTTTAGACAATGACTTAAAAGTAATCTTTTTTTTTGTTTACTATGTCTAGTGAAATTATTCATAAAACTTTCTTGAGAAAATGAAGATCTTTTGGAAAAGTTTATGATTGGTTTGAGGAACGTTTAGAGATCCAAGCTATTGCAGATGATATAACAAGTAAATATGTCCCTCCTCATGTAAATATATTCTACTGTTTAGGTGGAATTACCTTAACATGTTTTATTGTTCAAGTAGCCTATCTGCATGGTTAAGTAAATGGAATATAGTGCATAGACCGCTAGGGTTTGATTACCAAGGAGTAGAAGTAATTGAAATAAAACCCCAAAATTGGGCTTCTGTAGCAGTTATACTCTATATATACGGTTTTAATTATTTACGATTACAATGTGCTTATGATTTATCTCCAGGAGGTATGTTAGCTAGTGTGTATTATCTTACTAAACTAGAAGAAAAAGCAGATCAGCCTCAAGAAATATGTATTAAAGTACCCATTTGTGAATCATAAGAGGGGCACCAGTCAAGGCAACTTCGTTGCGAGTTCGAAAACAAAAGACAAAACCATAAAGACTCAGGGCCTGGTTTCCTCAATGTCCTGGCACATACGATTTTCGACGTCGCTGTACGAGGGAAGACGTTGTGCGATCTTGTAGCGGATCGGCCTTGCCGAACACGTCCGGGCAATTATCCCACCAGCATCTCACGTTCAGGTAGAGAAGATGAGAACCGAGTTTCACAGCTTATATTATCAAAAAATATGAATACAAAGTGTTTCAAAGTTTCCCTGAGTCCAGCGCTCATCAGCGCAACACCAATATCTTGCCAACTCATCAATATGCCTTCCAGTGAATCAGTGCTACCCCTGCAGATAGTCTCGAAGTCATCAATGTGGTCACCACTCATCAATGCCACCTCTGCAGATCACATCCAACTCAGGTAAGTATCTTC